ATGGAATTAACAGGATTAGTGGGAGGGAGGAGGCGTACCAGCAATGTGCTGAGCAGAAACCTGAGTGATGTCTTTTCCCAGCTGCTCCTGATGAAGGATTTGGACAGTGTGGTGAGACCAGCTGAAATCATAGCCAAGGTTCCTCTTGGGAATGTGGTAACAACATAAAAATAAATACATTGGTGTTCAACAATCTACTGCCTTCTGAGGCTGCAGGGGAGCCTGGAAGAAGCTGAGGAAGCCTGGACAAGGCTGGGCAGCTGGGAATTCCACCCTACTGTAGCAAATGGCTGGAGTCTGACACAGGCCATGCACAGTGGCAACAGTACATATCCTACCCCATCTCCACCCTTTATGGTCCAAGAGAGTTGAGAGGCACTGGCTGATAAAAGAATCTCCAAATCCCAGGCACCTTCTTTGTTTAGATTGGCAAACAATATTAAGTGATTGTATGCATCCTGTTCACTTGCCTTATTTTTTTCTTTTGCCAGTGCAGGACTATTTTGAAGCTTGTACTTTTGCATACCTGCTAAAATAATCTCTTACTTTCTTTCCTTAAGCTTATATAAGAGAGGCTGCATTTCAGGAATGATGTTAATTCAAGCAGTGGGTAGACAACACCCAGTCCCATCTTAGAACCTTCAACATTAACTCTAATTTCAGGTCTCCAATAACAAGACATAAATGACCTTCTTATGAAGGCCCATACAATAATCTTGGATCTAAAAAAACTTTAGAAATACACTGTCTACCTGTAGGTTTCCTGTAAACTGAAAAAAATAAATATGTAGAGTGTGTTAGATACAGAGAAGGGGAAGTGCAAAAGTGCTCCTTACTGTCAGTATTTTGCAGACAGGCTCCATTCATTGCTCTGTGCTGGACCACACTGCTTGTGCATTCATCTCATTTGGACAGTGTTCAGACCCTGCTCTCCACCTTTGCCTAGAGAATCAAATCACTATAAAACTAAGAACAGCAGCCTGCCTGCTACAGGGATTAGATCCAAAACAGTTTATTAATCCCCATATTCTTCAAATAGTCTCTTGGCAGTTCAGGATCCAGTTTTAAGCCCTTACAGATGATGATACATTTTATTTCAAAGAGTTGCATACCTCCAGGGCTTGGCATTCAGGCAGATATGGGGGCCAGGTGACTGTCCAAATTAAACAGACAGCTCTGCATCATCCTGCAACTGAGCTCAGATAGAGACCTAGGAATCACAGGGAATAAAATCCAATCTATACCATGTAGTTCAAGAAGTTTTCTCTTTAGCTTCAGATTGAGTTTTGATGTTCACCTTCTGTATGAGGTATTTCTCAAGAGAATTAGAATACAAATAAATTAGTTTTAGACTCATGCTTTAAACCAGACTAGATAGAGATCTGAGACTGCATGAATTAGCTGTTTTCACTGCTGTCAAATTCAGATAGCACATTACTAACTTCCGTCTCCCTTGATCACTAACTCTAATGCTTTTTTCTTTTCCCAGCACATGGAGTGGAAAAGCCACATGGACAGTAGTAATATAAACATTAGTATAACAAAACTGCATCACTGTTAATTAGTCCAAGTATGAAAAGGTTGAAGTCCTGTCAAGTCTGGAGCCAGGCATCAATCTTGCCCAGTTTTAATCATGATACGTATTTGTTTGCAATTATATAGTTTATTAGCACATCATATTCTGCCATAGCAAAACAGAACTCCAGAGGCATTTTGTCTTCTGAAGCTTTTAAATAATAATTTCACAAATACTCAAGAAGTTGGCAGCCACCAAAAGAGTGAGGCACAAAGATAGAAGACAGATTTAACTCCAGGCTCTTGCAGACAAGAGTCCAGTTTAAGAACAGAGAAGTTGCCTGGGATGATGCTGTTATAAAGTGCCCTTCATCATCTATTCTCCTGAAAACCTGTTTTGTGTTAGCATTTTCAACAAGGAAGAATAATAAATCAATATTTTTCAAACTATTAGGTCTTCCATGCAGCGACAGACCTTTTCTGATGTTTCTTGCCAGTTGTTAAAAAGCTAAATTCTGGTGGAAACAGAACACATTTTTTACCTAGAACTTCAACTTCTTGAGAAAAAGAATAAACACATAATTCACCTAATGCCACTAGAGAGGAGCAGAAAATAAACCAGCAAATTATGGCAAAATGTCTTCATACATCTTATATTGTTAACATATACAGTAAAAAAAATGACCAGCCTGTATTCCTTCCTTCATCTTCTGAACTCATCATATCAAATACAACCTCTTAAAGGCAACCTGGAACAACCCATCATACTACTTAGCTTAGTTTTTATTCAGCAAGCTGTATTCTGAAGAAGACTTGGGAAAGAGAATTGATTTCTTAATTCACAATCACCCCACCCAATTGCACTAACAGTAATTGAATTGCTAAATTTGATGAAGCAGGAAACAATCCATGTAATGCTGAGCGACCTTAAAAGTAAAACAGAATTTAAAAAAAAAGCCATGTGTTAAAGGCTGTATTTTCAGAATGACTGACAATCCAGTAGTGGCTGGGTGTTCAATTTCAGTGAAAAATCAGGTCAGAAGCATTTTAAATGTTCCCTAGAGATAGTAATTCTTAGTATTTCTTTAATAGAACAAACCCTGTTAAACTTTCAGGAACTTTGATAGGAAATTGTCTGTTCAGACACTACAAATAACTCCCAACTGATAGGCTGCAGATTTAGCTTCCTGTCTGTAGATACTCACGAGAATCTCTGCCTTCTATCTCATTACACCAGTGGCACACAGCTCACACACAACTTCTACCTCTCCATGAGATGAGGATGAGGCCAAGGGATGACAAACTGCCACACTTCCACTGTAGTGGTGGCTTATTTCAGAACCCAGAGCTGCTTTGCAGAAATGCTGACTTTTGTTCTCCATTTTATTTAATCTCAAGAGATCTGTCCTCAAGAGCTTGATTGAGTCCACTGCACAACAGTATCTACAACTGGTTTTCTGCTACAGTTGCAATACTAAGCACCAGTGAACTGTTTTCTGGACAATCTTGTTAAAAGTTTTGACCCTGCCTGACTCTATTCCTTTGAGCATCATCCTGACTTTTGGTTAGATCATTTGTGACACCTTTATGCTTCTTCTCTGCAGAGACCCACAGCAATCCCCAGACAGGCTGTTAGAGGAGAAGGCCGATTCTAGCTTTTCAGTCTTTTTTTAACATTACTCTGTGCGTTTATACAGAGGGTCCCTCTAGTTCCTCTTTTATCTCCTCAACTTTTTACAGCTTTCTGTCTTTAAATGCTTGCAGTTTATTCTATAACCTTTTGCTCCAACACCTCTAGTTTGTATCTAGGATACTAAATACATGTGAAACAGTAACCCCAAATAAGCTGCTCATGAGGGAGACCAGGGCCCTAGTGTTAGCAGCCAATAGGAGAGAGTGAAGAATAAAAAACAGCTGTTCCTGCAGGAAGGACCACAGTAGTTTCTGAGACACGCAGACTGGGCACAGCAGCCTCTGATGCACACCAGTGGCTTGGTACAAAGCTGAAGAAAAAAATCATTCCTTGGTGCCCAAGAACAAACTTTTTGCTGCTGACCACTGCTCTTAGAGCTACATCCCTCATCCAGAGGCAGGGAAGCTTTGAGTGACCCACCCACCATGACTCTGCTAGCCTACCCTTAGCCAAACAAGGGTTCTGTCTAAGCCCTCACTCCCAGCTAAATGGCAGGCTAAACCCTTTGTCTCAGCTTCAGACAGGGTAAGTTTAGTACAGAGCAGCTAGCCTAGTCCTACACAAGGAAACATGAGCTGAAGTTCTCAGTTCTCACTGGATTACAGATTTTTCCACAGATGGTGACTACACTGAACTTTGCAGTTGTTATCTAGCCTATATTCTTCCTGCAACTGTGGCTGTTGTCTTCCACCATTAATATTACAAACAATCCTCATGCATGCTCTGCATAAATATTCACAGAAACAGGGAAGGAAGAAAAATGCTACCTACAGTTATCACAGACATATGTAACAAAAACAGCACCCAGAGAAGATGGAGATAATCTCTAGCAGAGGTTAAAAATACGGGGTGGTGACTGTAAAAAACACTCTTAAAACTGTGATTAAGAAGGCAGAACTCAGCACAAATACTTCTTCATTTAAGTCCACTCAGCAAACCAGTTTGGTCAATATATTGACAACTCCATTTTTACATGTATTTGTAAATTAATGTATAACCTTGCTTTATATGCTATACTAAAAACTCTACTTGAACTATACAGTATACCAGAGCTTTTGCCTCAACTATATATACACTAACTAGAGTGCTGAAATAACTGTATTTCTTCTTATAATCCCTTTATATTCCATTCCTACAGTGTCACACACCAATGTGCTGTACAGACTATGGGTATTCACTGTATAAAATTTCTGATAGGATAGCTAGAGTTCATGGCGGGTGGTAAAGAGTGGGAGGCAGTTTGGAATTGTACGATAAGTGCATTAGCTGAATGTTTGTGCTAGAGGATCAGCAATAAAATCACTGACATTAATAATGGAAATGCCATCTTTAAGTTTCAGAGCTAAATATCGAAGAGATTAATTAGGCAGTTCACTCCTATGCAAACTTTTTTTTCTGCCTCTGGAATACCAGCATTGGAATCACTGCATTAGTGATACTCAAGTCACATTTTCAGGTTTTTCACAGGAAAAAGAAAGATCAGAAACTAACTTTTTTAAGCACTCTAGATCCTAATTTGTCCGTATACTTCATGACACTGCCATCACAAATCACTCTGAGCCATGGGTAATATGGGTTCATCAAGACTGCACTCTACCTGCTCATAGGTCTGCATCAAGGAAAAATGGATTGGGCCCTCATTTACTGACATCTTAAAGGTAAGCTAGGCAATGATGAAGATTTGATTCTGTAAGTCTCAGTGAATTTTGTTTGGAAACTTTCACCTCTACTGATTGACTTCACTACACAGCTGATTCACAAGTCCCAGCTACGTTTTTTCTGAACTAATGGGCTATTCTGCAAGATTGAAGAAAAATGTAAAGAATGTTCTGGCCCTTCATTACTGGCCAAGCTTAAACAACAGAGCATCTTTGAGCCAAAGCCTAAAGCAAAGAGAAGCCATCTTAGCCAAGTTTGGTTTTTTCCCAGCCACATTTTTAGGGATTGGTCTCTTCCAACTCTGTGAAACTCAGCCTTTGCTCCCTTCTGTTTAGTTTTTTTTAATCCCAGGAGGAATAAATTCCCTGCACAGCTGAACTCAGACTGTTACCTAGGAACCACTACATGTAGGGTAGGCAGCTGTGTTTCTTCTTCTTGCTGAGAAAGTTTTTCCCAGTTCTTGAGGAAGATGAAAGCATCCCAGCATGCCCACCCCCACTTTCCTGGTCTTTGGCACTCACCTGTGGAATTTGTCCCTGGCTCACAAGATGCAGTACTGTGAAGGCTGTTCTGGAAACTGTTCAGTTGCCTTTCAGTAGAGGTCACCCTAACAGGTAAAAAGTATAAAATTGGATAGAGATAAGAAGAGATATACCAAGGAAGAGTAAAAGTCTCAAAAAAAAAATAAAATAAATAAATAAATAAATAAATAATTCTAGTTTACTTCATCTCACTGGGATTGTAGCTATGAAGATATGTCTGAACATGGTATGAAAAAGACAATGTCAGCATCCAACTCCAAAAAGGCAGGGTAAGACAGACGAACACTCAAGCCACCAGCAAGACTCTGATGTGCCTAAAACACTTAATTATCCCACATGCCTTGGAAGCTGGTTCTGGAGAATAAAGGAGATTGTAAATCATACTGGACCACCAAAGCACAACTCAGTTTGTAATGCTGTGGTCACCTTATTCCAGTGATCTGAAGTAAATGATTGAGCAACCTTAAAACACAAATGTACGCACTAGCAAAAACATGTCACATTAAAAAGTACTTGCATCTTGTCTCAGCAGACACAGCTCATTTAGGCAAGATTTCTCACTTGCCTTGGAAACTGAGACCCACAGGATGCATTTAATCTCCAGCAGTCCAGTGCCAGTGCTCAAGCAATCTGCCTGCATTTGACTCAGCATTTGAGTTACAGTAAAACTGTATTATGTGGAATACAACTGCACTTCCTTTAACTGCTACAAAGGTTCATTACCTAACTAAGACCATGCCCTCCTACAGAAAAAATGGGTCTACTCCCAAGGCAAGGTCAAGCTATACAGCTGCAATGATCTATTCTGTCCTTAAAATCTACACAGCTGATTCATCTATTTCAAGTTTATCCTCTCCTCCCTTCTCTCTTCTTGCCTTCCTTCCTTCCTGCCCAAATCTATTCTGATGACTCCAGAATTCTGCATGTACACTCCCGTCTACCTGCCAAAGTCCTTCTCCTTCACTCATGCAGCTCTCTGCAGTGTTGCAGTTACTGTGATCTCTTCCCCAGCAGAGCACTGTAATCTTCAATTCCCATGCACTGATGACTAACAGACCCAGGCACATGTGCAGTTTCTTTGGTTTTGTCTGAAACCTATTGCTTTCAGATTTTAAAGTCAGCAAGTTGCCAGTAATCCAGGTGCTCCTGGCAGCTAGAAGGCCAGTGAGGGGCTCCTATATTTTATTTCAGTTGGACTTTAATGACATAATTTGGAGTCCATACAGGAAAAAAGGAATGCAGATATCCCATTTGCAAAACACAATCCCTAACTGCAATCAGTCATAATTTGAAATGATATTGTCAAATGAAATGTGTTTCCAGGTCTACTGTCTCTCAGAGAAAATTTCTGATATGTACTTATGGTTTCTTTTGGCTGCTAATACTCCATGGTCCTTCTGGGAGCAGAGAATCCAGATGGAACTTTATGCTTCTTACATAGAGATTCCACGCTTGTAATTAGCTTGCCCACTTTGTTATCACAGCACAACTGACAGCCAAACTGAGCTCATCTTCTGCAGGTAGAATGCAAGACTAGTAATTGAAAATGTCATCAAGAATGTCAGCAAAAACAAAACAGGGAATAGTCATACTCCTACCTTAAAGTGGGGTTTATGCTTAGAGAATCTCTTCCACTCTACACACTTGCCCTTCTTTTCTGCCTGCCCACACTCAACTGTCACTTGCACACAGCTCATTTTCAGATCTGCTTCTAGGCCACTGATCGCCCAGCACGCTAAACTCACCCCTCAGGTTCCCTCTGCTGTCCTGATGGAAGCTCCAGTGCCAGAACTACTTAAAACTGCCTTTCTCAATTTCCTTCTTTCAATGTCTGTGTTGGTTTTGCTACCACTTCTCCAATGCAATCCATTGTTAAGTTCTCCATTTCTTTTTCTTCAATACTAACAAAAACACTGTCCACACTGTTCCCTCCACTTAAATATCTGCCATTGCCCTTCTCTGTCTCTCATACAGCTTACCCCTCGTTGAAACTGTTATTGATTTCCTTCATTTAGGCATTAAACCAGCCCAGCCTTAGACTGAAAATTTGGAGGATGTTCTTGTTCCAGAGGTGACAAAGAAACACTTTCCTGACTAAATGTTAAACACATTTGTTTTAACAACCTACTCTTGGGATGCTATAAAGACATCTGAGGGTTGTCTGGGGGGACAACAACAACAGAACTGACCCTAACAAATTCACATCACAAAAACCCAGGTTTGACAAGTGGGCAGCAACATATGTGAAGACCCAGAACCAGGGAGGCTTGTTCCTCTTTGTTGCTCTTGGACAGGGTATCTCTGCATGTGTATCTGTGTGTATGATCTGAGGCTAGCCAAGGGCTAAGCCTACAGGCCTAGTGCACCCAGCTGTGTCAGGGTGTTAAATCAAGGCACGTCTCTCAGATGCATAGCTTTTGCTGCCAAAAACGTCAAAGGGTCAGGCAGCCTGATTAACCCAGATGCTCAGGAGCTAAAAAAACAAGTGTTGTACAGTACAGCAGTAGCAAAAAAGTGAAAGGGGTTCCAGTAACAGTTACAGGCTTGCTCTCCAGCTGCCTGTCCTCTTTCCAGTGGGTACTTGGTTTGCATGTGTGACATACCTGGCTCGCTTCAGAAACTTCACGCACACGTATGAATAAGCACACAGGGGTAAGACCAGAACCACAGTGTTTTACAGGGCTTGCTCTGTGGCCATCATTCTATTTATGGAACATCTGCCAGACTTGGTCAGCCTGTCCTAGAACAGCTGGCTACTGCTGCACCCAATTGCAGTCAGGACTCCACCCCACTGTGGGATGCATTTCCTGAATCTTGCAGAAATGCATCACCTTTACCCTATTTCTGTATTAGTTACAATAGAACAGAACTTTGGCTCTTCTGCTGCTGGCACCATGCAAAGCAAACACACAAAAGAACAAGGTAGAAAGATTTTGTGCTGTAGTGTTGGGGCTTGAAGGGGGTATTTATTTCAAAAGGCTTCCTGAATAGAGTTGTTGGGAATGACATCTACAGAAAAGTTGAATACAAGAAATTATGCCATGTTGATCAACATCTCCAATAGTCAGTGATGTTCCAGTCTGCTGCTGGTAAACTCAGTGATCTTCTTGGGCTCTCTCTCCCTGATAACATCTTGAACTATATGTTTATCTTCTCCATCTGGCATTTCCTTTCTTTCTTTTCAGTGGTCTAATACTGATGGCTAAATTTTTCTGAGATCTTTCCTGACTGCCAGCTCTGTTCACAGGCTGCTCAAGGCCTTGCTCAACTTGATGCTGTCATAAGAGAGTAGGTTTCTGAAAAGTTACTATAGGAATGACTGTGCAGAAACTTCTATTTATTGTGACTTAGTCATTCCTAAAAATAGAAAGATTTTCTTCCTACCACCTGTACCAGTTCACTTTGGGTTCTCACAGTTGAGCTAATGTATTTTTCTACTTTGCATGCTGGCATCTGAAAGTTTGATCCACCAAATTCCAAGACTTCATTCCACAGACACTGTATCTGTGATCTCTGTCTCAAAATGTTGCCTATTAATAGATCTCTTCATGGTTCACAGACCTGCCAATAGCAGTGGCAACATGAGCAGAAAGGACCCAATCTGACTCTTGGGAAGAAAGAAGACCTTGTTGTGTTAGCTGTTCAAAAACCATTTTTTTACTTGCAATACCAGCACATTTAGTAATAAAAGCTATGGAACTCCATGAGACTGTTTTATGGGGATACATTTCAGTGTTGGCACTACATATTAAACCATTTCTCCCAATCAGTCTTTTTCCACACACTAATTTGGGCCACAGTTTTCCACTCTGGTAGTCCAAACAACAAGTCCACTTTGGACATAACCCAGGTAAAGTCAAACTACCACCTTTTGTAATTTAAGAGACTGACAAAACAAGACCTGAAAAGACAAGGCTGAATTGTCTGGCAGTTCCATTACTTTTTTTCTTCATGTTTTAACCAGGGAAGTATCCAAGTTACTAGATAGTTTTTTAATTAGTCAGTAAAGTTCATCTTTAGCATCTCATTCTATTTGTAGCTGAGTTTTCTCCTTCTTACTGTTTTCTCCTTCTTCTGGAAGCCACATGTACCAGTTGGGAGAGAACAGGTAACGCATAAAGGAGATAGGTCAAAGAGATAAAGCTGATTTTAGTTGGTCTTCACAGTCCAGTCTCTGGAGAAATTCTACAAACAACTTAAAAAATATAATCTTTATTAAGATGTTAAAAGCCAGGCAGTGCAAAAAAAGCAGACAGAGAAAAAAAGGTCTGGCTTACAGAAATATATGGGGGGGGGAAAGACACGAGAGCTTTAACAACAGAATGGGATTAGTTTCAGTGAGTCTTGTGGGAATAATATATAGCACTGGGATCTTTTTGGGGAAAGAGATGAGGAAAACAGCCAACAAGTATTAGAGAGTGAGAATGGGCAGCAAATAAAAAATGACCTGATAGAAACGATGCAGCCAAAAATTCAAAATCAGTTTAGATGTTATGGAGATGGGTATTTGTCATGTCATAACCTAAGGAGATGGTAGTCCCACACTGGAAAAGTACAATTCTGGGTGCCACAATGCAAGCACGCTAACAAACTGAAGAAAATGAAGTAAATTCAAGACAATTAAGGACTTGGCAGGCGGAACTACTATCTGAGGTTAACAAAACCTCAACAAGTCTAAGCAACATTAGGAAACTCCAAGAAGTAGAATGATATTCAAAAGATGGAAAGTATTTGCAAGGGAAAGTGTTTAGGGTGGTTCAGGAAGGAGGAACAAAGTACAACACGATGAAACAAAGGAAAAATTCAGATTGCACATCAGAAGAAACTTTGATAATAGTGGCTAGATTCTTAAATAGTTTACTATAGCACATGGTGGGGTTTCTGCCACTGGAATTTTTTGAAAGCAGACTACACACAGCGTCTGAGAATACTTTGTGCAGAATAACCAGGGACTGTAAAGAACAGGCTGGAGCATGCAAGACATCTTTTTCTTCTCTAATCTATATTCCTTTGACACAGAGGCTTCTTTCCATTCACTGTCCTCTCTCGATGCATCTCTGGTCTTTTCCTGACAACAATGAAAGGATTAAATTAGACTGAGACATAGCAGTTTTTAAATTATTATCTCTTTATATGCTGGAAATGTAGCTGGGCACTGCTGTTTTCTATCTAAGTGAAAAAAAAAAAAAAAAGATAACTGCAGGATCCCATGAATGGCAAGAATGGTTTTGGAGCCTCATGCTGGAGACTGAAAGGCAACTTGGAAAGTATTTCCTGAGTGGCTCCTTGCAGCCTTCAATACTTGGATTAGTTTTCTGAAATTCTGAAGGGATCTTTTGCTTTTTTTCCCCCTTCTGTGCATTTTTGGTGCTGAACTTTTTCCGGTTTTCCCACACCCCTGCCTGTCACAGAGCAGAAACCACAAAAATGCAGCAAAGTAAAGTCTGTCCAAGGAGCTGCAATTCCATCTCACAAGGATAAACATTTCCTCTGCCAAGAAGTGAGCACAGCACACCAGGTCAAAGAGACAAAGCTGATTTTAGTTGGTCTTCACAGTCCAGTCTCTGGAGAAATTCTACAAACAACTTAAAAAATATAATCTTTATTAAGATGTTAAAAGCCAGGCAGTGCAAAAAAAGCAGACAGAGAAAAAAAGGTCTGGCTTACAGAAATATATGGGGGGGGGAAAGACACGAGAGCTTTAACAACAGAATGGGATTAGTTTCAGTGAGTCTTGTGGGAATAATATATAGCACTGGGATCTTTTTGGGGAAAGAGATGAGGAAAACAGCCAACAAGTATTAGAGAGTGAGAATGGGCAGCAAATAAAAAATGACCTGATAGAAACGATGCAGCCAAAAATTCAAAATCAGTTTAGATGTTATGGAGATGGGTATTTGTCATGTCATAACCTAAGGAGATGGTAGTCCCACACTGGAAAAGTACAATTCTGGGTGCCACAATGCAAGCACGCTAACAAACTGAAGAAAATGAAGTAAATTCAAGACAATTAAGGACTTGGCAGGCGGAACTACTATCTGAGGTTAACAAAACCTCAACAAGTCTAAGCAACATTAGGAAACTCCAAGAAGTAGAATGATATTCAAAAGATGGAAAGTATTTGCAAGGGAAAGTGTTTAGGGTGGTTCAGGAAGGAGGAACAAAGTACAACACGATGAAACAAAGGAAAAATTCAGATTGCACATCAGAAGAAACTTTGATAATAGTGGCTAGATTCTTAAATAGTTTACTATAGCACATGGTGGGGTTTCTGCCACTGGAATTTTTTGAAAGCAGACTACACACAGCGTCTGAGAATACTTTGTGCAGAATAACCAGGGACTGTAAAGAACAGGCTGGAGCATGCAAGACATCTTTTTCTTCTCTAATCTATATTCCTTTGACACAGAGGCTTCTTTCCATTCACTGTCCTCTCTCGATGCATCTCTGGTCTTTTCCTGACAACAATGAAAGGATTAAATTAGACTGAGACATAGCAGTTTTTAAATTATTATCTCTTTATATGCTGGAAATGTAGCTGGGCACTGCTGTTTTCTATCTAAGTGAAAAAAAAAAAAAAAGTATACTGCAGGATCCCATGAATGGCAAGAATGGTTTTGGAGCCTCATGCTGGAGACTGAAAGGCAACTTGGAAAGTATTTCCTGAGTGGCTCCTTGCAGCCTTCAATACTTGGATTAGTTTTCTGAAATTCTGAAGGGATCTTTTGCTTTTTTTCCCCCTTCTGTGCATTTTTGGTGCTGAACTTTTTCCGGTTTTCCCACACTCCTGCCTGTCACAGAGCAGAAACCACAAAAATGCAGCAAAGTAAAGTCTGTCCAAGGAGCTGCAATTCCATCTCACAAGGATAAACATTTCCTCTGCCAAGAAGTGAGCACAGCACACCGGCATCTTCAAATACACATCCCTGCTGCCCAGCAGAGAAACCCACTGACACAGCCTGTCACCTGTACTAACATGAGCTACCCAGCATAAAAGAAATCAGATAACAAACCCACCAGCATATACCTGCCAGACCTGATGCTCACATCTGTATTTGCTGAGTTGACAAAGTCTACTAAAATCTTGTTTTCTTTTTAAATAGTTTAGGGAGATTAATTCAGAATGCTATCTCTTAAGATAGCAAGAGTATAGGCAGGAAATACACAAGCCTCCCCAAAGTTGTTCTATCCAGGATCCTTAAATAAGCCTTGCAGTTCCAGGTTTGATCCACACACACTGACAGTGCTCTACCATCTTCATAAGTTATCTTTCATCAGTAATCTTTTACTAAAACTTCTCTCTTTAAACAAGAATCATGAAAACTCACAGGAACCTGCTCTGAAAGTTTTACAACCCTCTGGCTGTAGAGTAAGTACAAAGCAGGAAGTTATTAATCCAATTTTTGCCCTTCGGTATTCAGGGATTAAACAAGTCTGAGGATATGAGGAAAAATCTGATGAAGGATTTAGTCTAAAGTAGTTCTCTTTAGCAGTTATCTCTAGCAGGAGATAAACAGAGAACTAAGGAAGCTACCAAGAAAGGTAAAGGATAAGAAGAAAACCCAGAAACCTTGCTCACATTATCTCATAATGCACAAAAGACACCTCAAGAAATGGAAAGGAAATAAAAAGTTACAATCAGTAAGCAACATTCATGCTGAACGGGGTTTTTTTTGTTGTTTTAAAGGTAACATGCTCCAATTCCATCTACCTTAGAATGGCAAACACTATATAACTAAAAACTTAGTTAAAAGAAGGATTTCTACAGATAATGAGGAAAGCTATAATTGCATTAGGCACAATATAATCACTTTAAATGAAATAAACTCTTGTGCTTCAAGGCGTAAGTCAATAACTGTATGTTAAATTAATGGGGAAACTTGACTCAGGGGCAGATTAGCTTGTTAAGTATAATGCTGGGGTTTTTTTTTCGCAGCCTCTTCTGACCCACCATGTTCTAGCCCACATCGAATATTAAGCATGGAGGGAGTGACTCAAGTGCCCAAACACAGATGCCTACTACTCTCAAGTTATTTGAGATATTTGCAGCATGGGACTGGCAGATACAAACACGAACTACAGACACTTTGTGCTCCTCTGAAGCAGCAGCTGCAGGTCAAGTGGAATAGCCCAGGGCATCCAAAATGTCACTAGCAACCTGTATTTATGTAACTGAATCCCACCCTAGCTCAAACACTTCTCTGATTAAATCTGACAGTTCCTATGTCCTTATGTTTGTGTGATGTTACAGCCTTACCTACCTTACCATTGTGAAACATGAAACTGCAACACAGTGCACACCTGTTTTCAGTATACACACAGCTTAGGTTATTCTGAGATGTATCTTGGACAGCATAGCCCAAAAGATCTATGTCAGCCTCACATGTAGACAGGTGGCTTTCCAATATTGCTTCTTGGGAGAACCAATGCCAACTCCTTGTTGTGGATGGGAAGAGATAAAACTTACTTGGAAATCCTCTGGGCTGCAGCCTTTCTGACTACTGCCTGCCTGTGGTTTACTGGAGGCTTTGGAACCAGCTGAGAAGGCATACTCTGGGATGGCATCACTTTGTGCAAACTGGCTGCCTTCTGGATACTAGAAGTGGCACTTGACATCTTGTGGGCATCAGAGCCAGCTGGCATGGATATATGGCTGGTGCTGGATTGTGAGTAGTTGGCAAAGAGAGCCTGGTAAAAAAGAAAGTAAACAAGAATACCATAGTAATTGATGATTACCTTTGAATATTGCTAAGTGAGCTGATGGAGGGGAAGGACATTTTTGTGAGAGATAATATCTACTGGATGAAGACAACTCCAGGGCTTTAGGAACAGTCTCATGCATTAGAAAACAAACAAGCAAACAAAAAAAAAGTTAAGTCTTTAAGTCAGTTGAAGTAGTTTTTTAGAGCTGAATTTTATACCCTTGGAAGTTGGAACTAGCTTCTAAGGAAGGCAGACGAGCTCATTACTGCCACATAATGATTCAATTCTGGATTAAAAAACAAGAGGTCTTACCCTCAACCTTGCAGTGAGTGCCCATCCACAAAGAAGTAACACTTTTATTGCTTTGACTGACTTTCTGCATTTATGTTGCAAAATTATTATATGTGTGGGAGATGAGATTGAAACAATTCTAGGAAAGAAAAAGGTTATGGGGAAGATGTTACAATGCCAGTTCTATAAGTGCTTGGAAAAACAGAGAGGTTCTAGGTTACCTCCTCTGAAAAAATTACATTAGGTCAGCAGCTGACATGAACGAAATTCCTAGTGATACCAAGGAACAGAAAATATTTCTATTCCTATAGCAGGTGGGAGAGTAAGTATGTTGGAGATTTGTCCCAGGGAACAAAAGAATCTGCATGTTATGAGACACTGGAGAATTAAGCAGTAGACTAGCAAAGCAAGAGGGGAATGCTTCCCTAAGACAGCTCTGCAAACTGCTTGGCTCTCTTCAGAAAGGAGCAACCTGCTGGGAGTTCTGCCTTGTCTTTCCTCGAAATCAGTCAGATTCCCTGGGCAAAGAGGCAGTACAGTTACCGTGTAGTTTGGCAGCTAGAGGTCAGTGATAGCAGATGAGGGGAATAGCTGAGCACTCGCCAGTCACCTCGGCGTGACCCTGGGAGCAGTGCCTTCACTCTGTTTGTCCTCAGTTTCATCTCTGGTGAAAAACACACAAAGCCACAGCGAGTGGGCTCCAGAGAAAACCACAGTCTGAGGGCTGGCTGAGTCTCAGCACACAGACAGGAAAAGCCCCTCTCCCCCGCAATTCTCTGGCAAATGGCAGGGCAGTGGTGTGTGGGAAGGCGTTTCTGACAGGCAGGGCTCTAGGGAGAAAAGGAAATCCAGGAGCCAAAACAGGCCTGTTTCCTAAGTAGAGTTCACTGACAAGATGCCCTTAAGCTCCCAATTGTTCTTAACCTCTCCCTTCCCTGAAGCTCTACCTTGATCACAGCTTTCAGATCTCGAATAAGTAACTGGTACAAGTGCAGAAATCTGGAAAATAGCAGAACCCACCCCCTGCCAGCACACCAAACTACAATGGAACTTGGTTTAGTCTCTTGCATCTTAAGAGTCTGACACACCATGGGGTCGGTAGGAAGACACTCAAATCACTATACCCTCATTCTTATTCAGGGGTGACATTTCATTGTGCTCTGTTTGATATTATGCATATTTCCTCCAAGTTCCTTTTCTTCTTATTAAAATGCATAAGATCCTTGAGTCCACAAAGCATATGGTTTTAACCCCTGCCCTGTGTTAAGTGCATTGGCAAGGAGGTCCATGACTCTGAAGAAACAGCAAGCATGGATTGTCTAACAAAGTCTGATCAGCAAAAGCTGGGCTGAGACCTGCCTACAGAGAGGTCATGGATGTTTTTTGGGGGGTAACGGACCTCCAAAAAGGCTTTTGTCTCCATGCTGTGCTGAGATTCTGGCTACCTTCCAGGCAAGGATGGGGAGACTGGAAGCTGACACGGATCATGGCTTCTGGATTCAGCTACAAAGCACACTGCCCTGCTGTGAACTCCATGGGGACAGGACAGGAAATCAGGAGAAGCTACTGTGCAAATAAAGAGGGCAGCTGGGGAGAGCAGAGCCTGACCACACAAGGGAAGGGTTGGGAAAAGACTTTAGCACATCTAAAAAACAGGAGACAAACCACATCACTCAGGATTCTGAAGGCTCAGGGCCTAGGGAGAGCAGAAGCGTAGACAAACCCTGACAGAGACAGTCCTGAAGCAGGTAGCACCCTACAACTATTGCTGCTGCAAGGAAAAAACCACCTTTGAACCACACTTCCCAGGCTGACAAATTTAACTTGGTGTTGAGAAGACATTTGCTTCCCTGACAAGTTCTTAGAGTTACAAACCTGAAAAGAGCACTATGAGACTTTTTAGCTTAAAAAAAAATAATGTAAAGTGTAATTGCATAATGCTCTAGAGAGGTAGGACAGCATTAACCCTGTCTGGCACATTAAGAACATTAGCAATGAGAGAGAGTGATTTTCCCTAAGCCACAGACTAAAGCAACATGAAAAGCCAGGTTGAGAGCTCAGAGAAGTTCCTGACTCACAATCCCGTATTTGCCTCCTTAGATCACACCTCTCCTTTCTTCCACATCTACACATGAACAACATACACAGCATTATCTGTTTTATTTGGAAAATCTCTACATGTACAGCTTGTCAGTAAGAACAATGCAGAGTATTAGCAAGTAGCAGCTGAGTTCAGGCAGCTCATGATTAAAATAAGGGAGGTACTGTAATACTTTGAAGAAAAGCAGATATATTAATGATCTTCAAAAACAGAAAGAATGTTCCTGGCAGTTACCATCCCTGTATCTAACACCCATCCCTAGCACAGTAACGGAACAAATGTTGCATGCAAAAACATGTTCATTCTGTGACCAGAGGAGGTAATGAAGCTCATTTCCTGTGAATCTGACTTGAGGCTGAATCTTACAGTATCTTAATATAAAGCATGCCCCAAATTATGTCTCTTTTCATGGGGTTGGGCCATTCTTGTGTTAATTTTCTGCTATCTAACTAGGAGTGGCCCCATGCTGCAGCCTTTGCCTTAATGGGAACAGTAGTTGAATACCCTTTCCAGATATACAAATCTTTATTTTCATGAAATTTATATGAAACACAGCTTTGAGATGTCTATCCCATAGTCATTCAGTTTAAATTGGATCAGCAAGTTTGAAAACAATGAGACTAAGCAATGTATGAGAACCAATGCACATACACATGTACTGCATAAAGATCTGTGCAGCTAGTTCCAAATCACTAGCGCTGGAAACTGAGATGTTTGTAAGCAATAAACAATGACAAGGGTTTAAGCTAAAACAAAAAGGAAAAAAAAAGCAAACCCAACAAAATAAAAACCACCACTTTAAGAAAAGCAACTGCATTTCAGATGACACTGCAAGAGTACAGAGAATTAAAATGCCTGGAAGACCTTTAGAGTCTTACAACTTATCTAGTGGAGATTCTTTTGAACACATATTAATGCATTCAGTTAAATCAATTTGGATGCAACAATCAGTTGAGATGAAAATTCATGAAGTGGCTACAAAGAATAGGCTCAAAATGTACTATTAACTGCCACAGTGTTAAACTGCAGCAAGAGGAACATTTAATGAAGAGGAGCAAATGCACAGACTGTTGTGAAGCATGTCTTCTTTGCTAAATTCTTCAGACAAAACTAAAACATACTAAAATAAGTTGACTTGGTGCATTCTCCTGTGTCTCTCTTTTTGGTACTGGAAGCTCTCTGGGGCAAGGATTGGGCCATATCATTGTATGGAAAGACACTTAATAAATCTGGGTGTTACCATAATTCTAATAATAGTGACAGGATCGGAAAAATGGGGACAAAATTTCAGCTGGTATAAATCAGCACAGACTACTGCTTTCAGAACAGTTGTTCTGCTTTTCTTAGACTGAGTCTTTGACTCATCAGTATCACAAGACTCAAATAGGAAAAATGGCAGTTAGCACATTTAGTGGGAAAACAATCTGAGGGAGAAAGCTACAAAACAAGAATGAACAGGAGACTGAAGGGGAGAGACTGCAAATCTGACAGCAGTCCAATATATAATAGTTTAGAAAACAGTTTAATGATGTTTAAGGCTGCATTCAAAGAGGCCCTGTGTCCTCAGGCAGGAATAATGTAGTTCTAGGAATATTATTCTGAATACTCAACATTCCCAATCAGATCTAAATAAAGTGTAG